CCCGCACGGCCACCCGCACCACCACTGTCCCCTTGCCAGGGGCTGTGGTGAGGGTGCAGTGGCAGCAGTGATGGTAACAGCATTGTGGTGGGGCTGGCAATGGTGCAACGGCAGGGGCGGGAGTCAGATCTGCTGCCCGAGGCAAGCGGCTTCACCTTGCCTCATTGACAGACCACCCCTGAGGCAGAGCAAAGCCTTCCAAGCTGGTCATTCTGCTCTCCCCCTTCACCAACAGCTACAGATGATGCACAGCTCTCTGTTTCTGCTCTGCATCTGCATGTCTGGCAGTAGATGAGCCGGACTGGTGTCCAGCTTCAGTAATGGACTGGATGGGAGCAAATAAACTGAAGCTCAGTCCAGATGATTGATTGAAACAGCTGAGTAGAGACAAAAAGGGGTCAGGCCATCCAGTGATAGTCTGAATCCATTTTACAATCCTGGCAAAGTTGCCAGCCACTTTTCTATGGCTACCAAAACCATGAAACATGTATTCCAAGAAAGTTTCTGGCACATGGCCAGGAGAAATCTAATGATCAGCTGGAAGTCCCAACCACACCCCCTCAATGGACACTGGAGAAATAGTCTCTTGGCAGGAAACAAATGGCACCTTCAGCAACCTCAGTTTGAGAGAGAGAGAAATAGATCCATTTGGGCTTCTATCACATTTTCCAATCTTAATTTCAGTTTGCCTCATTTCTGGCACACCACAGGGATGTGTGCTAAGTCCCTACCTGTATCCATTGTATACATACAAATGTGTATCATCTGACCCGTCTACTGCAATTATTAAGTTTGTAGGAGACAAATCAGCGTATAGAGGGGAGGTCCAAAAAATATTTACATGGTGCCTAGGGAACAACTTACACCTTAATATCAGCAAGGCAAAGGAGATGGTGTTGGACTTTCGGAGGAAGAGAGGAGAACTAGCCCCGCTGTACATCGGGGAGGGCTGTGTGGAAAGAGTCTCTTCCTTTAAATTCCTACGAGTTTATCTCAGTGAAGACCTTACCTGGAAAATCAATAGAACCCAGGTGGTTAAGAAAGCCCAACAGAGACTCCATCTCTTCAGAGTATTGCGAAAGAACAATGTCAATCAACATTTGATGATCTCCTTTCATACTGCATCACGGTGTGGTATGCTGGTTTGACATCAACTGATAGGAAGTGCCTACAGAGGGTGGTGAATACAGCACAAGATATTATGGGCTGTCCCGTGAATCCGCTGGATGACATTGCGGAAGAATGTTGCATCAGGAGAGTGAGGAAAATTCTCAGGGATGATTCACACCCTGGCTGGCACTTACTTGATCTCCTGCTCTCGGGCAGAAGATATAGAAGCATGATTAGTCACACCAACAGGGTAAAGAACAGCTTCTATCCGTGGGCTGTTAGGCTGCTGAATGAAAAGATAACAACGGGGCAACTGACTTTTGGGTTTGGTGGGTGTGCGTCAGTAAACGAGGGGAATTAAGACTAAGAGAGCTGAGTGGGGGGAGCTCGTGTAATCTCACTGTATACAAGTTGTACAGGTGACAATAAAGTATTTCAATATTTCAATATTTCTGCTTCAGAGTGGATTTTTTAAAAATTAAATAAAATCTGAGTGAACATTTGCATGCATTTTCCTGCACATTCCTCTAACAGACACATTTTTCTCTGATACTTGGCCCAATATACTCTTTTTTGCAAGCAGATGTCCCCAGTACAATGCATTTTTCTTTGTATGTTTACTATATACAACTTGGTGCACACTTTCCCCTTTTGGTTTTTCTTTTTTGGTATGCATTTTTACGTCGAGGAACCACACTGCAATGTTTGGAGAAGTGTGAATTTTGAAAGACAGCTGTGTTTTAGTCTTTGCACTGGCTCCATCAGGACAAATCAGAAAATGCAGAATCTGAACAAATTCCTCCCTTGTGAATTTCAAAGCACACACACAGAGACGCAAAACAACAAAAAAAGAAGCCCAATCAACTCCTTCTCAAACCTATAAGAGTGCCTTTTGGTCCACAAGGTGGTGCTGCACAACCACACTCTTTACTCTGCCGGAGGAAAGTGGGCAAAGGGAGAGTGAAGCCATTTCTTTCCGTTGGATTTTTAGGCATTTTATTTGTCAACACTTGAAATGCCTGATATGGAGGGAAAGCCTTCTCTGTTGTTATGCAGGCCTATCCATGCAGCCTCCCTCCCTCCTCAAGCGTGCTCTAAAGGGGCTGAGCAAAAAAAAAAGTGAAATCCAGAACAAGGCAGAAGTGTTGATGGTTGACACTCCATGCATTATGGAGGGAGGAACATCAGTTTTTCTACATGGGATCAGACCCTTCCCAGACTAATCCTGAACCCTGTGTTGGGGAAAGGACATAGCTCAGTGGCAGGACACCTGCTTTGCATGTAGAAGGTCCCAAGTCCAATCCCCAGTACCTCCAGGTGGGGCTGGGAGAGACCCTTGCTTGAAACCCCAGAGAGCCACGGCCAGTCAGTGTAGACAACAGTGAGATAGATGGGCCAGTGGTCCGAGTCAGAAAAAGGCAGCTTCCTGTGTTCCTCCATGGATCCAAGTGCAAAACCAGCTACATCTGACCCACTCAGTGACAAGAAGTTGCCCATTGTCGTACAATTATGGTTTAGCTCTACCCTGAATGACTGTAATGGACTTTGCATGGATCTGTCCTTGATGGTGGTGTGGAACGTTCAGCTTGATGGTTGGGGTGGGATGGACATGTTCCTCACTGCTGAATCACATCAAAAAATGATAAGAGGGGAGGGTTTCTAGGTCAGAGGGGGTCTTCCCAGAGAAAACTGAGCCATGGCATCTGTTTCTAGAAGTCCCGCTCTGGGGTTGCCTCACATTCTCCCAGAATCCCATTTGGCTGGGGAAGCTCTTATCTGGGTTTAATGCACTTGTGAGCATGATGGCTCTCAGAGCAGGGTTCCTTCATGCGTGAGTTGACCAGCACCACCTTTTGATTCAGTCATTGAAACAGAAATCATAAAGCCAAAGAAAGCAGGAAGAAAAGCTGAAGAATGAAGGGGCAGCGCCAGCAGCAACAGAAACAAAAGCTTGCATGAAATGGAATGTTCTCCATTGTTGGTAGGACACAAATATAGAGGAATGCCATTCATTCATTCATTCCCCACCCTTCACCCTAAGGTCCCAGGGCAGCTTGTAACATTAAAACAGATTAAGAACAATTTAAAACAACTTACATACATAAAATGAAGCCAAGTCTTAAACACAGGCATCTCAAGTGTCAAAAAGCCAAAGTGAAGAGATGTACCACCACATCACCATCATAATTATTATTATAATATTTATAATATAATTATATTATAAACTATAAATTTATATTATAAATTATTATTATTTAAATTTGCATACTGCCCGATATTCGCAGGTCTCAGGGAAGTTCACAAGATAAAATCGCAGTATAAAAATACAAAATACTTAATCAAAATAGAAACAAAACCAACCCAATAACCCCCCTCCAGCACATTTTCGAAGGGCATTGGATGTGAATGAGCTAAATGCCTGGTTAAAGAGGAACGTTTTTGCCTGGCACCTAAAGGTGTAAAATGAAGGTGCCAGCTGAATCTCCTGTTCCAAATGGGTGGCTGAAAACTTTTTATTCAGACAAGCATTTGTTTGTGTTTATTGTGTTTATTGAGATTGTGCGTTCTCCACTGCTATTACTTGTTGTTCTTACCAAGATTTTGCATTATTACATGGTTTGTAGCACTGTAAACACAACAGCAGCTTTTCCAAGGGCACAGTCCCAAGGGCAACACTAGAGGTTCAGAAAGGCACTTTCTGCGCCAACTTTTAAGCGCCTTCTGAAAACTATGCTACTCCATCAGTCTTATGCTGGCGATTAACAAGAAATCATTCCACAGTAGTTCTCCAGTTTCCAATTTTAACTTTCTCATATGGTTTTCATTGTTTGGTTTTGCATACAGTTGTTGTGAACCACTTTGGATGGTTTCTTTATGAATTCATGGTATAGAAATACTCTTATTATGCATTTATTGGAGTTATATCCCACCTTTTCCTTCAGTGAGTTCTAGGTGGTATACAAAGTAATCCCACAGCAGCCCTGTGAGGTAGGTTAGGCTGGGAGCAAGTGGCTGGCCCAAGGTCACCCAGTAAGCTTTGTGGCTGCATAGGGATTTTTAAAATTAATAACAAACAAAGAAAACTATCCACCAAATAGAGGGAAGAAGAGCTTTCATTAGGATGCATTTACCTGGTTGCAAAGTTCAAATAACCACAAACAAAAAGTAAAGAGCAAGACCAGCCCTGCTAAAAACTGTGCACATAACCAAAAGAATGATCTAACACTCTGTTAAGAGTTCGGACCCTCTGTAGCAGCTAGAGCTGCTCCTTACCTGCTCCTTGACCTTCTTGCTGCCACCAGCAGGCTAAATGCAGCAGAAAAAAAAGCCACACCAAGAGGAGTGGAGGGGGGATCTTGCAGTCCGCAGCGCACTAAAGGTAAAGGTAAAGGTACCTAAGCCCGTTCGGGCAGTCTTGCCAGAACTCTAGGTTAGGTTGAGAGGATAATGAAACATCCTTTAAGCTTTTAAGTTTTTAAATTGGCTTAAAGATGACTAATAAATTTGAAAATTATAATTAACACTTCATTATAAGTATATGATTGCCACCCTTAGCCTTTTCTGAAGGCAGATTTTAGAATTTCTAGAAACTCCCAGCTTGATATTTGCAGGGATAAAATTGATGATCGCTATGATCTCCAACCATATCTGCCTCTATTTAATAGGGAGACGATGCCGACCGTCGCTCGAATAGTACACACAGCGACTCACTTGCGTACACGACTGGAATAAAAGTGGCCTAGACGTGACAAAGACTGCATACTGCGCGACCAGCGCAGCACATGGACCGCACGTTACTCCCGCTGGAAGCAGGTCCCTATATTATTCTACTTGCACGCCGAGAGGTGCCTTTCGTATACTGCTTAGGGTTGGCAGAGGCGCTGGGACCGAACGGCCCCAGGAGAAGTCATTAACACACTGTGTGGATACAAGACACTAAATAAAGAGGTAACAAACATTTTTAAGGTACCTGAGGGCTGAGCCAGGCATTAGGTAGCAGACATTTGTGGAGGGAGGAGGTTGTGCTTTGTGGGGCAGAAGAGGGGGGAGTAAGGGATGCTTAGTAAGGGAAGAGGACATCATGGAGGCTATAAACATACGCATGGAGCAAAGCAGATAAAGAGGCATTTTGTTCCTCCCTTGTGTAATGGTAGAACCAACTGAGGTCCTCACGCAATGAAGCCAACTAGTGAGAGCTTAAGGACAGGTGACAGGCAAGGCTTCCTCACACAGCACATAGTTCAGGTATGGAATTTGGTATCACAAGATGGGCAGCTATCTTGGTTGACATTAAATGCAAGCTAGACAAATTCATGGGGAACATGGCTGCCAACACCTGTGGGCTACCTCCAGTGGGAGGTCCTAGTACCAGGTGCCAGAGATCATAAGCTGGACCTCGTGTCTTACTTGTGAGCTTCCCATCGCGGCATCTGGCTGGCTTCTGGAATAAGAGTGTAAGAAGAGCTGTGGGAAATGCTTGCAGAATACTTAAAAACTCAGTGTAAAAAAGTTAGAACGCAAATTGGATTTGAGTAAGAAGAGCAGTGGGGGCGAACTTTTTGTTTTTATTGTGAGATAAGGTGAAGGTATAGAGTAACTATAATATGCAACATAAATTGGAATTTTGAGGGAACCATGGAGGAAGGGAGAGGAAGTCGTAGGTAGAATGATTGATTGCTAAATTTGAAATGTTGTTGGGTTGTTTAAAAATTATAATAAAATAAAATGCAAGAAGAGCCCTGCTGGATCAGGCCCAAGTCCCTTCTGGTCCAGCCTCCTCTTCTCATGGTGACCAACCAGGTGCCCCCAGGGGAAGCCCACAAAGAGGAACAGAGCTCAACCGCAGCTCTCTCAGACTCAAAATATTGCCTTTAATGTGATTTGTTCTCTTTGTAGCGCCTGGAGCTGGTGGCCACTATTCACGTACGTGGCTGCATCCATGCGGTCGGCTTGTGGCTTAAAGACAATTTTGAAGCCACTTTTGGAATTGTTTGCTCTCTGCTGTTTCCACAGGTATGTAAAAAATGTGTTGCTCCTGGCTGACTATTCAGAGGTGTGTGTTTCCCCCCAAAACAGAGGTGAAGACATTACTTCTTTGCTATAGATCACCATGAAACTACATTCCAAATACTTTTTTTAGAGACAAAATTCTGCATTAATTAAGCCAGATGGTTGGGGTATTGATAAAATTATTGTCAAAAATTATTCAGTATGGCTATTTCCATTAACTGACAGGCCCTCGTTTCTTCCTCTGGAATTCTGATCCTTACCTCGTTTTTTCAGAGACTCCAGATAGCAACATGGAAAAATTGCCAGAGTTTGCTTCCATGTTTTTTTCAACTTGATTTGTGGCACTGAAAATGGGTTGCAATAAACCCCAATTGCACTCCAGTCTATCCAGAGTGGGAAGGCAAAGCACAGCTGAGGTTTTGCAGGTCTCCTGTACCTTTAACCAAAAGTTTCCTGCTGTTGCTTTCTGTTTCATTGCTCATGGACATCAAGTGTCCTAGATTCTAACCTTCATATCTAATAAAACTTCTTTTAAAGGCATAGATACATAGATAATTGATCAGTGCAGATAATTTATCATACTTCTGGTTCATATATCATAAAATTATTCAGTCATGTACCCAAAAATGCTCTTGTTACTGTTTAACAGCCACTTATGATTAATTCTCCATTTGTAACAGCCATGGCATATTTCATTAGCTTTCAGTTGTGGTTCCAATCTGTTACACATATCAGAAAACCACTCTGTCTCTTCATCTCTAGGAAACTAACATAAGGGAAGTCATAATACTGCTTTATTCTGCCTTGGGAAATCCTGTATGTGGTTGGAGCCCTACAGCCTTTTTTAATGTGTCCACAGACTCTTTCCAGTCAGCTAGTGCCATGACCTTTGTATCCAACAGGGACTGGGACACGAGAGTCAGAGGCTGCAGGCTCTTCACACTGATGAAGAATGATGATGTTGGTGACAAGCAGGCACCTCATGTGTGTTGTTAACTATCCTAAAGAGCCAGTTGTGGCATAGTGGTTAGAGTGTCAGAATAGAGCCTGGGAGACCAGGATTCAAATCCCTGCTCAGCCATGAAGCTCACCGGATGACCTTGAGCTAGTCACTGTCTCTCAGCCTGATCTACCTCACAGGGTTGTTATGAGGGTAAAAATGAGAGGAGGGAAGTGTGTGCACCATCTTGAGCTCCTTGAAGGGAAAAGTGGGGTTTAAGTGTGCCAAATAAATATTAAGCCAGTTGAGCAGAGGTTTGTATTGTGTTGCAAATACTCCATGAGTTTGTGGAGCAGCTTTCTCTAACTTCTTCAGTTGTCTTGGATGGGAATTCTCATCAGTCCACACCATGCTGAGTAGATCTGATGGGAGATGCAGCCTAATCTGGAGGGCACCAGCTTGTGGAAGGCTGTTTTTGAGCATCCACAGTTGTGAATTCATTGGTTGCCAGCCTTCCAAGGGCTCAGTCTTCAGGTAGTCTGGTTGGAGACTTAGGCTGAATAGCCAGAGTCAACCTCATGCTAACAGAGCCACAAGCAGGTTCATGTTCTAGCAGGAGAGAAGATTCAGAAGCTCACATCTGGGATGCACAATCCAAGCCAGGCAGCGATCAGGATCCAAGGCAGATCGTTGGATCAGAAGGGAGTGGAAGCTAGGCTGTTTCCACACGCAAAGGTTGAAGAGCAAGCATGGGGAGTGGTCTCCATTTATACACCGCTTGATGACTAAAAACAACCACAACCGGGACGACTTCCGGGACGCCGCGGC